GGTGGGGGTGGGGGTAGCGCCCCAACAGTGTCTAACCGTTAATAATATTATTATTGTAATACTATAGGCCGAATGTGAAGTTGGACGAAAAAAATACATGTTCATGTGGTTGAAAAAACAAAGAACAATCAACATCGACAAGAACTGATAGACATTGTTTCCTTTCGTTCATTCCTTCCTCTCCGCCCCCCCCCCCCTTTTTTTTTTGCTTGGGGGTTTGGCGGGTGGAGGGTTATAATAGAAACATTGAACAAAGGTAACCAACCTTTCCTAATTTTATTTTCCGCGTTTTGTGTTAACTAATTGTTGTGCAGATGAATAATTCACTCATTAAACTGTCTTCGTCTCAGTTTGCTCGCAGAGCTTGGGGTAACTGCGTTGAAAGGCCGTCCATCATTATCAGCTGTCTCTAAAGGGCTTTGACCGAGTTCGGCAGACAAAAAACCGCTCACTTCGCGCGGCTGTGCCACAGGGGCGACAAAATACGTGACGGTTGCCACCGAAAGGAACGGACCCGCCCACAGAACTGGAAAAGTGGACAGGTGGGGCTAAGGTACGTTGCAAAAAAGTTGTTGAATAGACTTTGATCATGTCTTTACTCTCCTTTTGTTGTTAAGGTCTGCCCAGTGCCCTTGTTGTCGGATGGTTGGTGCGATCAAGCTCACAGTATTGTCAATCAAAGGGTTTCGCTCAGCTTTTAGATTGGTAAAACGTCGACTCAATCTGAAACAAACAAACAAACACACACACGTACATACATTCACACCTACACACACACACACACACACACACACACACACACACATACACACACACACACACACGTACAATCAAACACGTTGCGACAAGCAATTACATTGTGTAGTTTCATTGTTCGTGTTGATGAGCTAGATATCTACGTATACACGTTAAGAATCCAACATTTTTACCAACGGGACATTAAATATACAAGTGGCATTTTCTTTACTCTTATTCCATTTTGAATGGCCGATATCGGGTTGGTTAGGTTCTGTCCTCCAACTCAGAAAAAAGAACATCAAAAATCCGACACCAGTTTAACAACAACACGAAAAAAACAACAAAAAACAACAACAAACAAACAGCAAAAAAACAAAACAAACAACAACTAGGAAACAGGACCAGAAACCCCCCCCCCCCCAAACAAACAAACAAACAAACAAACAACAAAACCCTTTAAAAACCACAACTAAAATGGCAAGTGAAGAAAAGAAGTTCAGATAACCACCAATTCGACTATGACGAAATCTCTTACATCTTAAATATCTTATACTATTGTCATAAGACACTTTTAATGGACATGTTACACTTTCCGCAGGAATAGTACTCATGATTTCAGAGAGCTGTTGGCACCTGTTGCCGTAAGTTAAGGCGGAATGCAAGCTTGTCAATTATGCAGAATTTGTAGAATGGCGACGCCCATCTGATCATATTCATATCAGATCAGTTTTATTGAATATAATGTTTTACCGCACAAAGCAAGCAAGTGAAAATAGATTCTAACACAATAAGTGTCAATGTATTACGAGAAATTGTGAACGAAACAAAACCACCAGTGCCAGACAGTGGGTACCGTTCATTTTGTTGTATTGAATATTTTTTAAAAAAATGTAAGTTTTATCACGTTCCCATCGACACAATTTAGATCATTTAGGTGGCCTGATTCCGACCCTGCCTGGCAGGGCCAGCCTGTGCTGCGAGAGGGATGCAACATCCTGGCAAAAAACCCAAGATACTCGAAAAAAAACAACAACATTCTCTCCACTCGCGAATCGAACTCGGGTCTCCTGTGTGCGACGGCTAAGCGCGTAACCCAAATAATAAACACAGACATTGGTAGATAAAACAGTAATGATTTTATCTACAGTTACAATTAAGGCACATGGAAGACTTGAAAAAAAAATCCAAGATTTATTTCCAAAGAAAAATGTTAATTCAAAAAGGTTCAGTTCTTACGAGCAGAGGTTGAACAAAAGTTTTTCCTTTGATTTTTATATGCATCCTTACTATTCAATGTAAAAGCAATATAACCTTGAAAGGCCCAATTTCCCTTCCGTTCTTTCCCCACCTCTGTGCCCAGATCCGCGCGCGTAAAGAACTGTTCCGTGTGCGCGCGTGCTATCGGTAGTAGCGCCTCGTGAGAGCCGCCTCTGGGACAGGGAGAGTAGAGAGTAGAGAGTGCTGTTGTTCGTTGGCCAGTTCGTCGCGCGTTCATTGGCAATTCATCGCACCCTGCCGCACCGCGCGCACGTCTCTCACCCGTTCTGTTCGCGCCGGACGATTGCCGATTCTTTTTCGCGCCGTTTTGGTTTGTTCCTGGAAGTAAAGTGAGTTTCTAGTTTTTGTGATTTTGATGCCTATGATCTGTGTGGATTCTAAAGTATTTCTGAGATTCGTTAAGTTTTTGTTTTATGTATTAGATCTAGTTACTTTTACTTGTGTTTTTGGTAATCTTTGCTAATCTATTTATTATTACGTTTTCCCTTTTTTTTGCATGTTTTTCTGATGAGGGCTAAAAAAATTGTTTGTTCAAACATAAGCAGTGAAGAAACTATGGTCATGTATAAAGTGGCTAGTGAACTTTGTTTTCAATGAGCATGGACAGCCTGCCTCATCTGGATGTGAACTTATTCTACAAACGAAATGCGTGTGTTTGAAAACCACGTGGATATAAATGAGGCTGTGCACCAAGCAGGGGGTCTCCTTAAATAACCTCTCCGAGTTGAAAGGAGAGTAAAGTTATAAAACAGGGGTCACCTCGTCCTCATATCTTTAGCATTACCGCCCCACTCCTCCTCTTCCCTTCCTCCCCACCCATCGTGCTTTAGTAGTAGTAGTACAGGGTTTTACGGCGCTCGCAACTGCGTAAGGTCATGCGCTCCATCGTGCTTTGAGTGTCTTGTATGTATAATGGATTCTGAAAAGTGGCAAAGCCCCTCCCTCCCAAAGTACAACAACAACAACAACAACAACAACAACAACAACAACAACAACAATACCAACAACAACAACAACAACAACAACAACAACAACAACAACCAAAGCAAAAGCAAAAAATTCAAACAAAAAAAAAGCCCAACAAAAACACCC